TATTGTAAATTTTTTTAAACAATACAGACATCTATAAAATAATGATCATAAAAGTTCAGTTAAACAAGTGAATTTCATATTAATTAATAGTGTGAAGTTTGACGCTGTTTATTTAAAATAGGGATTGTAAATTTACCGACTTTTTCATTTACCGGTAATTCGGTAAATGAAAATTAAAATACCGGTTTACCGGTAAGTTACCGGTAAATTTTTTTCTTGAAAAATAAAATTAAGGTAATAAAAAATATAAGTCATTATGATTTCCATTTCACATTTTTATTTCAAAGATATCAAATATAAAAAATATATAAATTAAAGTGTTATTCTAAACAAACTATAATAATATAAAAATAAGCAGAAATAAAATACAACAGAAATAATATATAGTACCTAATACCATTTTATTCATTACCATTTTTTAAAATTAACTTCTCAAGAAACTTAAATTATTTATAGTGTTATCTCCTAATTTTGATCTAATTTTTGTACAAAATAATCTAGATCCGGAGAATACCCTTTCTGATTTAACACTTGTTGGACAAATGGGTATTAAATTAAAATTAAACAAAAGCTATCTCACATAAAATTAATAATGAGGTATATTGTTGCTTACACTTACCTGTTTTTTTTTTTTCAACGTCCCTTTAGCCCCTTTAAATATCTATAAACACCATATTTTCTACATAGAAATTTCTAGTATGGATTTTTCATTTACCGAATTACCAAAAACTTACATTCGGTAAACTTACCGGTTAATTTCAAAAATTTACCGGTAAGTTTACCGAATGCTTTTTGTCAGTTTATCGGTTAACCGGAATACAATCCCTAATCTCAAACATGATCACAAGATCAGACACATACATATCTCTCATGCTTAGAAATGAGTTTCTTTTTTTTACCTCAATCACTCTTTCAAGCTTTTTCTGAGGTTTCGTAGCCTGAACACACTTCTTAGGACCATGGTAAATGCACAAGGGTGTTATTAAAAACAATACAAAAAAACAAGTAAAAAAGTTATGTGAAGATGCTTTTGGAACAAGAGCAGATGAACTGAGTGTGGCTGGGCTTGTTCAATATGTGTCCCAAACTCATATTAACAGATTTAGAAAAGTAATGAATTTACATTGTTTGTAGCTCAAAAATTATGTTTAGTAATTAGCCCAAAAAGTAGCAAGTAGCCAAAAATAAAAATTAACCCAATCTGCCAACACCGTAGCATCATGCATACCCAAACAGATATCATACACCATACAGTATGATCTTTGTTCATGTTCATGTTCCAAGAAAAGTTCAAATTTTGTGGCAAAATTTCTTCAAAAGTGTGTTTGGATTCCAAATTGTTGACCTTTGGGACAGTCAAGTTCCAATGTACCATTGTAGGAATCAGTTTTGAATTGAAAATTATTCTAATCTTATAGTAGTAATAAAATAAAATAAATTTGAATATACTATTTTAATTCAATAATTAAGAGCGATATTATAAAAATATACTTTGCTTTTGCAAGATCTTCTTCCCTAAAGCCCATAGAACTTTTTCTCCTCATAGAACTACTCCAAATAATATTATCAAAAGGTGTAGTTAATGCAGAATTTTCTTCTAATTGATTTAACTTCTGTTGTAAATCATCTTTAAGAGCTTTCACATCATTGGCTATGTCAGATCCTGCATCTAATGACTTAATGTACGAAAGAACAACTTTGCAACAATAAGTACATACACGCAGATCACCTACAAAATTTAAATATTTAGTTACTATATGTAAATAGTTTTAATTGTAAAAAATTTATAATTTATCACTCACTGTTTTATTCAAGAAAAAAAGACAATAATAAAAGAAAATACATTCAGTTATAATTATGATGAAATAGTCTATTAACAAAATGAATATTTTTTTGATTATGGAGAAAGATAAAATTAATTTATTGCAATTCAATTCTTCCTTAATGAGATTTATGCAAAATAAAGAATTCAACTAAGAATTATAATCACACCTGTTAATACAAAGCTGAAGGACTTAAAAATTGACACTTTGTATTACCAAGGTTTGTATTAAGCAGACTGTACAAAAAAATCAATGGTCACACCATAAAATTGCAAAAGCCAAATTTTTCACAGAATGCACTTTAGCACATTTTTCCTATTATGTTTGAAGACTTTTTTCCTGAGATGGAAATGTTCAAAAACTTTTTCAGACTAGGATTGGACAATATACTTTATTTTTTATTATATTCCAAATTGTTTCTCCTGTGCGATATTTTTCATAAAAAAAGCTCTTATCATTAGAAATAAACTCCAGAGTTTTATTACTCTAGGATATTTGTTAGCAATAAATTCCTGCAATCAAAAACTTTTGCATAGCTGTTGCTATTCGAAAACTTTTTTCCAGGGGTTGTACTGTAGTATGAAAATTTCTATAATTAGTAAACCCTGTAAATAAATGCATTAACTGCAAGAATGTTAATCAAAAACTATCTGTGCTTGTTAATATTATATGTATTATATGATGGTGTAAACAGAACACTTGGCTGGCATAACATATTATACTGGACCAAATATATGTCTTGTATGCTTAAATATATAAATAAATATATTAATGTTGTAGTTTATTTTTAACATTTTTAAAAATATTAAAACTTTAAAGTTAAAAAATTAATCAACTGTTGTTTTTACATCCATAACTGCATCAGAGACAAAGCAAATACTAAGGTAAATACCTTAGTATTGGCTTTGTAATAAATTTGAATAAATTAAATGTTACACATTAGATTTTTCAATATAGACAAACACTAGTAACAAAAATTATTTTAATGTCAATCGACAAGTTAAATCAAAAACTTGACTGCTTATATAAATTTATAATAAAGAGTCAAAAAGTTTATACTCTTGTGTAAAAAATTAATAAGAAAATGATGAAACTTGATGAAAACATTAATACTACTCTATATTCTCCATATTTGATATTCCATTTCCACCATTTATGCTTTATTTCCTGCAGAAAATTATTGTAAAACTCTTTGGATTGGACTGAAAGTCAATTTTTCCAATTTGGATGTCAACACTTCAGCACAGCTGAAGTACCAATGATGAAAAGTATTTTTTTTTTTTAAATGAGTAAAGAGAAAGAAATCACTTGGAGGTCAGATCAAATTATGGATGTCCTGATACCACAAAGGTATCAATACCGGTATCACAAGTAGTTTTAAAGTATTGATACCGGTATCAATCTTAAAGTATTGACATTGGGTATTGAAACTGGAAATCTTGCCCTCTGCCACTTCAGTTTGTGGCTTGATTTTGAAACATTTTGTGTAATTCAAACTTTTAAGTTTAACATAAATAATATGCTTATCTAGTTAGTTATTATTAAAACTGATTTCTAATATAAATTAAATGTTACAATACTATATCAGCTGATATGATATTTTAATAATTTTCATATTTTTCAAATAATTGGCAAATTATTTATAAATATTTATAATAAACTTTAAGCATATTGTGTATAGATTCTGAAAATGAAATCTGATGTAATTTATTGATTTTTGGTCATTAATATTTACTATATAAGCTTAACTTAATCAAAAATAGTGTAAGATTTGGTTTTGGTTTCAGCCAAAACTGACATTAAAACCTAAATCCGGTTTTGGTTATAGCTGCAAAATCCAATTTTGGTTGGATCTTACCTGTCTGTTAAAAATGTAATGATACTGGATTCAATACCTGAGAAAAAGTAAGTATTGAGTACAAAAAGTACTTGGTATCAAAGGAAAGTATTGGACATCCCTAGGTCAGATGAAGCAAAATTTCAAATCCATCCTTCCTGGAAAGTATGACAGCCTATTGCACTGAATACACAAGTGCTTTGTCATGAAAGAAATGGACTATTTTTTGCTATACCTTTTCTGCTTGATCTCATCATGTAATTTCAATAGAAGGTTCAAGTAATCATCCCCAGTAATTTTCTTATCATCATCTTCTGTATCATTTTTTGAACTTAAAATTTATATTTCTATTTTGATTTTAACTGCACAAGAATCAATTTAAACAAAAAAGTAATTTACCTGTATAGCCTAAAATTCTTCCAGGAATACCTTGATTACAACACGTTCTACAGAAAATTTGACCACATATTCGACAATGGTGGCGTCGACGAAATGTGGTAAATTTATCACCACATTCATAACATTCCTTACAGTTACTATCAGGCATCCAATATTGTTTAAAATCACTATCCTTATAGTCCTGTAATGTCTACAAATAATACATATAAATTTAAATAAAATCACAGAAATTAAACAAAAATGATAATAAATTTCAGCAACAATATAAAAACTTTTATTCTGCAAACTAATATTTAACATTTTATAAAGCTATAAGTATTTATATTTATATATACCAGGTGGTTATAAAATAACTAGCTCTATTTGGAGCTATCAGTAGATTGAAGCAATAACCCAAATAAAACCAAAAATGGTGCATTTACTACCTAAGAAGAGGGAAGCTGGATAAAACAAGAAAAACAAAGGTACAAAAATTAATGCTAGAGGACACTGTAAAGTTTGAAATGTAATGTTTAATACAAGAAGAAAGAATTAAAATTCAAAAACTGATAACAGATTATTATTGAATATCCAAGTTTTAAGCAATTGCATGTGCACTAGGACCAGTTTTCAAAGTCATTGATGACTTAACAATTGCACTGGCAATTTCTTCTGTTATTACAGTAAACAATCCAGTCTCCTCAAATTTTGTTACCATTCTTCTCAGTGCACACTATCAAAGGACCTTTTCCTTTATGCATTCCTTTCACATGCGTAAATTCACATAAAGCAGCTGCAGCATTTGAGCTGTTAACATACAGTATAATACCAGAAGTTTTAGAAGTAATGCATGATCTGGCAAACATATCGGCCTTGCTGCTTACAGACATGAAAGCTAGCTTCTTGATTTTGCTTTTCCAATGATGAATACAACAGCAATTGAAGAAAGTGGCCCACAGCACCCTCTAGAAGCAATTTTTGTAACTTTTTGTTTTTCTTGTTTCATTCTTCTTCCCTTTTCTTAAATAGTAAGAGTACCAATTTTGGTTTCATTTGGGTTATTCCTCCAAGCTACTGACAGCTCCAAGTAGAGATAGTTATGTTATAACCACCCGGTATATGGAAAATCCAGACTTTCTTTGAACCATAATTTTCTTATTTTTTATTAAATTGTTAATATTTTAAGTAAAATAAATAACTTACCGTATTTTTCCTATCTAAAATATTAGAAATTCGTTTTAAGACATTTGTCATACTTCTGTGGTACAGGATCTCTCTATCTCTCCCTTGATTTTCTTGATTATTAATTGAAGACAATATTTCATGTTTATTATCTAACTCAGTACAGGTTATCTCTGAACTTTCAAGTGGTAACTCTTCAATTGGATTTATAACAACTTTAGGTACTGATCCAGATTCCAATATTTGTTCTTGACAGACTTCTCTTTGTAGATTTACATTACATTCTTGACTGCAATTATCTTTAGTACCTACAAAATTATGAATATTATGATTATATATTTTAGTTTAAACAATTTTAATATTCAATTAAACAATTAATTGATTTAACAATTAACATTCAATTAAATATTAATTAATCCCGATATATACTTTATTATATATATGTATGTATTCTTTTTATTTGGATTAGTTAACGTTTGAAATTATTATTTAAACTAAAAAGGGTCTAAGTTTGTCTGGGTATTTACGACATAACCAGGTTCAATAGCAATCTGAAAAAATATTGCTGTTAGAAGTTTACAATACAACAAAAGATACAAATTTCTTAAATGAAAAGTAAATTAGCATCTTTTTCAGTGTAAACGTGTTTTAAGATTATACCCTGTTCCCAAAAACAACTCATAAATCTCAAACAGGGACAAGCTTTTCCATTATTTCTTAGGGTATGTTCTACATCGTGGCATCCAGCAACAGCAAGCGGAAAGAATCTTTGTTACGCACTTCCAACTTATGAATGACCTCTGTCCAGAGTGGACACATGTTGTTTATAAAATAGAAGCAAGACAATTTTGTCGAATGCTTGCGATGGAAAATATGACAAGCATTAAAATGGTAAATTTGAAAGGTAAATGTTATTGTTAACTAGATACACAACAGATATAAAGAATATTCATAGAATAAGTTAAAAAAAGTGTTTTATTTTTAAAACATTGCATTTACAAAATCAGAAATTATTAAATTATGTAAAAATTATTAATTAAAGTATATACAACATATTTACATAATTTATTTGTCATTCTGTTTCCATTCATCTACAAAATCAGCCATTTTCTTATTTGGAAGCACAAGCAGCAGAAGCAACGATCAAACTTGCTTGGTATCTACTTCCTGCACATGTGTGTAAAAGCTGAACTGATGGTTGCTGCATGATAAACATGGTTATGCTGGACACACACATTTGCTGGAACTAGTTTGTCTGCCCTGCTTGGAAGCGCATTTATGCCCACAGTTTCGATGATGCTACCATGTAGGACATACCCTTACAGTCAAAATTTGTATCTTGTTCCAACATAATCCAGTCATTCTACTTATATTTCTCAAACATTGAAATACTAAAAAAACACCAATTTACTTATCAACCAATAATTCTAAATGAAATAAACACTATTTGCCAATAGAAAAGGAACTAATACAAAATGGAGAATACCCAGAGCATGTATGAATTTCAGCCTCATCACTCTTATTCCTCTTATTAGAATGTTTTTCCTCACAAATATTAGTTAGCACTTATTGTATTATGTATTTCATTTTGTAAATGGAAAATAAATACAGTAGAGCGTCGATTATCTGAAAGTCAATCATCCGAAAGAATTCTAGTCGGCAAGTTTAAATTTTCGCCAGTGCTGTGGCGCTGCAATCTTTGGCTATGTCTTGGGCTACTCAAATATTTTACGTTTTTGATACTCAATTAACTTCTGAAGTATAATTTTTTATTGTTTTTATATTTTTCAATTATCCGAAACGTCAATTATCCGAAATCATTCCAGTCAGCAAATTTAAATTTTCGCCAGTGCTGTGGCGCTTCAATCTTTGGGTATGTCTTGGGCTACTCAAATATTTTACGTTTTTCATACTCAATTAACTTCTGAAGTATAATTTTTTATTGTTTTTATATTTTTCAATATATTTATTTTGTTCGTACAAAATAAAAAAATAATTTTTAACGATACAATATTTTTCGTTAGGCTTAACATCGACGAAAATTCAACGCAAAGCGACACGCAACGGAGAAAAATGTCAAGATGGGATAAATTAATATATNTCTGAAGTATAATTTTTTATTGTTTTTATATTTTTCAATATATTTATTTTGTTCGTACAAAATAAAAAAATAATTTTTAACGATACAATAGTCTTCGTTAGGCTTAACATTGACGAAAATTCAATGTGAAGCGACACGCAACGGAGAAAAATGTCAAGATGGGATAAATTAATATATTTTTCATACATAATCAGTTATCCGAAACATCGATCTTCTGAACAACCCCAGTCCCCAATTGATTCAGATAATCGACGCTCTACTGTATTGATAAAATCATAGTAAATTGTCATATATTGAGAACTTATTTATATACATTCATATAATCATTTACATACTTGTCTGAGACACACTACTGTGATCAAATAGTATCAAATAGTTCATTTAAACTATGTGAATGCAAGACGGTGCTGTTGTCATTTTTTTGTCATTTGGTATGACTTTCATCCATATCTAGCAGCAATCTGTATGTCATTGTCTGTTTTCGTTTGCAAATAAATGCTTGTTTTGTGTGTAAAGAATTTTTGCACCAGCAATTTTCAAAATGTCAAATGTAACTGAGCAAAGAACATGCATTAAATTTTGTTTCCTCAATGGAATTATTGCTACAAAATGTTGGGAATCTTACAAAATGCCTTTGGTATTTTGTAAGATACCACTCAAAGACTCTTGTTTTTGATAGAACACTAGTCTATCAAAAACAAGAATCTTTGAGTGGTACAAGACGCTTCAAGGAAGGCAGAGAATGTGACAAAGATGAACCACTCTCTCTTAGACCATCTACTTCAAGTGATCAACAATACATTGCTTGAGTCATGGTGCTCGATGATTGTTGTTTAACAATTGGGTACATCATTGAATATGTTCCAGTATAATTTGAATCTCGTGAAACAATTCTGAAAGATCATTTGGGCTTGCTGTGCATTGCTTCTTAAGTCATCATGGAAACATGGAATTTTTTTCCAAAAACATGTTCAAGTGGCTAAGGAAATGCTTTCTTGTGGCAAATCATTCTCAAAATGCATCATTATGAATTATGAAACATGGATCTATGCTTTTGACACCAAAACAGCTCAACAATCAAGTGAATGGCACTCAAAAGGTAAAGGAAAACCATAAAGACCACATAAAAGTCAGTCAAAAATCATGGTCATGTTAACTGTTTTCTTTGATTGTCATGGTGTTGTGCATCAGAAATTCTTTCTGACTGGCCAAACTATCAACAAAGATTATTATTTGAGCATTTTGTATCATTTATGTGAAGCAATTCGTAGAAAATGACCTGATTTGTGGCAAAAAACTCACGGATTTGGCACCACAAAAATGCATCTGCTTACAATGTTCTTTTGTTTGTGAAGTTTTGGCCAAAATTCAACAAATATGATTCCACAAGTTCTGTATTCACCTGACATTGAGTTGCTAGTTTTGTTGCTTAAAATTTTTACCTATCAATTTGAGATAAAGTCAGTTTACAGTAAAATGGTTACATTATTATACTTTACTTTGCACTTTATTATACAGTGGGTGATCGGTTAATGAACATAATCCGTTCCAAGACTTTGTTCACTATCCGAATTGTTCGTTAACCGATTATTGATTTACCATAGGTTTCTATGGGAATTTGATTAATTCGTTCTGGAGACCCCCAAAAAAATAAAAAAATATATACTTTCTTACTACGTTTATTCACATGTAATAATAAAAATACATATATACAGGGTCTTGCATTTTTATTAGTCATGTTTTTTCCATTTGTGGGGGTTAAAGAATCTGTCCAATGTCGATTGCTTTTCTGTCTTCTTTATGATTTTTCAGAATTAATTAATAGCATTGTAATTGTACAGATCCCTAGGCTTATTAACCTCAACTTGGTTCGGATGCCATTTTAAAACCGTTGTTCTGACTTCCTCCCACTTCTTCAAAAGATCTTTAATAGCAGATATCGGCATAAGTCTGCATTTTCTGAAGAAAACATAAAAGAATTGTTTCTGTCAGAAATATAAAAGGCCAGAATTACAAGGGAGAGTTTCAAAGTCCGGGGGAATACTATCCGATCAGTATATACTGGGTAGAACCGTCGTTGTCGACGTCTCCTGTGCTCCGAAAAGTTTCGAATTGTTGCCTGAGACAAAGGAAGACCAATTGGTATTCGTTATTTACGTCACTTCTTCTTGTGTTTGTTCAGTGAAGTGTTCGTTATCCAAACATGTGTTCATTGTCCGATCATAAAAATCTTTCGCGAAAGTGTTCGTTATCCGATTTGTTCATTATCCGATCTGTTTGTTAACCGATCACCCACTGTACTTTATATAATTTAAATCATTGGAATAACTCAAAAATAATAAAGTTTGAATATAACCAAGTTGAAATAAAACTCATACTTTTAATTTTAAGTAAATCAAAAAATTTGATTAAGTATAAATTCAGTTTATATAGCAGTAATATGCTGTCAAAAACTGGTTGGCTGGCAACATGATCAGTATATATGAGACTAGCAGAATTAGCATTAAAGTTCAGTTGATTCTATGTTAGTTAATATTATTGTATTGTACAACAGAGCTGTAATAATAAAGATTTATTAAAATCAATAAATAAAAAAGACACCTTGTGAATCAAGTGAGTGTTTAATACTTTAAAATATGAAATCATTGTAAATATTGTAGATAAAATACTAGACACAATAACAACATCATTAATATTTCATCAGTAAATGATTTATATATTTTCATACAAAAACTATGCTTGATACATGTTGAAACATGAACAAGGCATAACAGCTCAAATTTATATTAATCTGTCTCGTCACGTTCTAAATGGAATATATTTTCTATTATATATGCATTAATTATCCATGCTGCTGACCACCATTGATGTAATTATTTGAATAAATTACCATAACTTCCTGAATATAACCTGCTGATTAGGTGCATTTTAAAGTCAACTTGAAAACTGGTGCAGGCTATGCATTCTACAAGTTTATCAGATCATATGCTGGAAGTAGCAGTACTCAAGAAATCATGGTTTATAAAAGCTGCTTGAACAAATTTTTTTCATAATTATCAGCTGTCATGACAGTTTAAATAAGCAATTATATCAGAAATGCAAGAAAGTGAAGGATGTTTAATTCCAGGCTATCACTTAGAATTTTAAACATCCAACACTTGTATTTTCATGCAGAGAGAGACAGCCTAAGAATTCATTTTAGCTTGTTTGTCAGACAAATAGATAACCTGATAAATAATTTCAATTAAAAAATAATCAGATTAGCAGAAATACTTTATTCCATTATTGTCAACTGGGACTTATCATATTATTAGGACAATTACACCAGTGTGATTGTCCTAATAATACGATAAGTCCCAGTTGACAATAATAGAATATAAAGACATAAAAGCAATTAAATTAGCAGAAATACCTTTATTTCTTCTAAATAAATTTGACAAAGAAAACTGTGATCCTTGAGGTTTTACTTCAGAACTGAGTGGAGCAAATTCTGTCAATGATGTAGGTGATTCTAATTTTTTTGCATATAATGAAGACACTTCTTTGCTTTTCTGCATTACTGAAAGAAATATTTAAAATAAAGACAAAATCTTTCAACAGTCCAGCAAAACATTTTAATATCTTAAAAATGTTTTCAAATGCTTTAAGTGATCATCCTCAATTATCAAATATTTAAAATTAAATATAAACAACAGTATTTATAACATAGCAATAAAAAACAAATAACAATTTGCAATAAAAGTTTATAAAACTTGGCACCATCATTTTAAATAAATAAATGAAAAACTAGTAATTTCAGAAAAACAACTGTTATTAATCAAAAATAATTGAAAATATTCTTTTTGCTTAATAACAATTTATAAATTCATATTAAATTAATAAACAGTCTAAATTTTCACAGTGAATTATTAAAAAAATCAGAAATATTCAATGCTCATGGAATTTTTATGTATGCTGTTTTTTTTTTCAAGCTCCAATGGTCCATAAAAAAAAAAAAAGACAAGTGTAAATAACAAAATGAATTTATTACCAAAAGTTAGGTACAAACATGGTTACTTTTTGACACAATCACCGTGAAGATTGAGGCATTTGTCATATCTGTGAACGAGCTTTTCCATTCCCTTGTCATAGAATGTTGCTGTCAGTGAATTGAGATGGCCTTAACATTGTTTTGAAGATTATCATTAGTTCATTAGTCTCAAACTTCTGCCCTGCTAGCCACATTTTCAGTTCAGGAAAGAGTTGGAAGTCTTCACACGTTAAAAAGTTTTAAGCTGGGTGGAAGTCTGAAAGATGGACGTCTTCACCACTTTTAAATACCCAGCGTATAGCCCCAATTTAGCACTGAGCAACTTCCACCTCTTTCTAGAACAGGAAAAGTGGCTAGGAGGGCAGAAGTTCAAGACTAATGACAATCTTAAAAAAAAAAACGTTAGGGCCCATCTCAAATCATTGGTGGAAACATCCTATGACAAGGAGATGGAAAAGCTCATCCACAGATATGACAAATGCCTCAATCTTTATGGTGATTATGTCGAAAAGTAACCATGTTTGTAACTAACTTTTGGTAAAAAATTCATTTTGTTATTTACACTTGTCTTTTTTTAAGGCCCATCGAAGCTTGAAAAAAAAAACAAATTTAAAATTTAGAATTATAAATTGATTTAATACATTATAACTTTAATTATTATTATTATAACTGGAGAAAACAATAAACTTACATAATACATCCAGACTCCAGCACAAAATAAAATGTTTAAAGTATTGAACAAACGTTTTTAGTGATCTTAGGCCACCATCTTCAGGTTCTATAGTTCTATATGAGCTAGTGATATGTCTTGGGATAACATATAACTTTCTGAATCTCTGAAAAAAGGCCCTCCAAGCCTGAATAAGGGAGTTGCTGTCTTTATAGTTGATGGCCAATTCTTCCATGCTGCCTTGCCTTAAAAATTTGAATTTTTTCTCCAAATGCCATATGCTTTGTTAGTTGATTTGTGTATAGGTTTTACTTGGTCCAGATGTGTGTGGATGACTGTTCAATGCTTGTTCAACCACTGAAAATGTTTGTTCAACACTTTAAACATTTTATTTTGAGCTGGAGTTTGGATGTATTATGTAAGTTTGCTGATACATTATATCTTTTCTCACAATGTTTATATTTCTAATTCCAATAAACTGAATTTATTCATATGTTTAAATAATCAAGCATGCTTCCAGGTAAACTATTTTTTTTCAAAAGTAACAATTAAAACAGAACAATTCTGTTTTTTCATTTATTATAAAATATTAACTAAATGAGATGATGAAATTTTAAAAGAATTTAACACACTATAGTTTTGACTCCCATTCCATCAGTTTTTAAAAATAAATCATAATCATCTCATAAAATTACCTAATTTTAATCTCTTTTTCATAAAAAGGATTTCAAATGAAAATCAAATATTTATATTTTAACACATTAATATCAATGATATACACTAACATCATGAGAATTTTCCATACAAGACCAGTGATGAGCATACAGGTCATGTTCTGTTATTTGCTATTTTTTTATTTTTAGAAATATTTTAGATTACTAATGTTAATTTGAAAGCTCAATCATTATATGTTAATGTATTTCAAACCATAATTCTATTTTCCCAAAGCATTTTATTGTTATTATTATTTATAATGTACATATCTATTTATTTTATGGTATTATTTTAATATGTATATATAACTATAAAGCATTGACTATGAAGTTTTATATTACTATTTAAAAATATATATATATTAAATTAAAATATTTTATATTTTTTATCAGTAATATAAAACTTTATAGTCAAAACTTTCAAATGTCATATATACATTAACTTCTTTAATTCTATTCTATTATTTCCAAATATTTGGTAATATAAAATGTATTTAAATTTTACTATTTTTGTAATAGTTTATACATAATCACATTTTTATTTATATCCTATTCCAAGTATTGCACGAATTCATTCAATTTAATATACAAATAACTTTCAATTACGGTAGAAGTATATTTGTCGGACACCGATAATCCGGAACGTCCAATAATTTGGAATCCTCCAAAAAGTAACCAATAATCCATTTTTTTCAGAAAAGATAAAGCCTTTCCAGAAGACACCAGATAAAACTGTTTCATCAACATCTCAAGAATAGTTAAAAAGACATCAAACTCATATGTGGCATAATTTGATACACTATATTTAGTCTACATTGTATTATGCCAAATGAACGTTGTTTCACTAGAGCCAGTGCATAGATTTTTGCACTCGGTAACACACACAACTAGCATACTCTTTCCCATCTAAGTGAGCAGACCACCCAAAACTGGCATCTAGAGTTTGGATGTATTATGTAACTTAATTAATATGATCCTAATCTAATTAACAACATAAAACTTGATGTCTCGTACTCGGAGCACGAGTACGAGACATCAAGTTTTACGAGCACAATACGGCACACGACCCCACTGTCGTCGGACCAATTAAAAACAGTGCACGAGCAGACAGAAAGCACACGGCAGTACGCAACGGTAAGAAAACGCACGACGTCTGCAACGTTCAAACTGCACACGACTTATTAAGTTTTGCGAAAATAGAAAAAATATAGAAAAATGTCTGACGATCCAGAACCACTCCAATTCCCAAGGCAGCGGATCGACAAAGTTCCGCCTTAATCGAAAAACTACCACAAATAAAGTATAAAGACGGTAAATAAATAAATTAGTCTCTAATAATATACGCTAATTTATCCTTAATAGTTTGGCATAGTAATTTCACAAAATTCCAGTAAGGAGGAATGCCTCTCAAAATAATAGCGAAAACGGACAATAATTTTCCCAATTTACCAGGAACCCGTACCGTACTTTTTGCCACAACACCATACTTACTACATTCAAAAACCAGTGCACCTATATACCCGTAATAGTATCTTCACATTTAGACACACATATCTTAACAGTAAAACATAATAATCATTACAATATTAATTTGTAAGATTTCCTTTGCGGGTTGGACCCACTTCGAACAGTGCAATCTTACACCCCTCTTCACGAATTTCGTTGCATTATACAGCTGCGCTCAAGCTAATAGTCGAACGTAAATCTCGAATTTCCTCATTAAATCATTGGTTAGAACGGCTTACAAAACTGCCGGACATCGGAGAACATTCATTTATTTTCAGCCGGTTTCAAAACATTTAAATATCAGTAAACAATCCCAAATTACTTTCACTCGTTGTTAATTAGATTAGGATCATATTAATTAACTAATTAAATAATACCACGATTAATTACGAATGGGAATTTGACTTAATCAGTAATAAAACGACGAGAGAATAAGCGAAAGGCTTTACTGACCAGATGAAAATTGCAGTGGCAGTGGCCGAATTACCGCAAAAACATGTACTTTTCACTCAGCTGTTTATGTATATTTCACACACGAAATCTTCAATTCCGTCGATAAGTCACAAAACTGCATTTTACATTACTTAATTGACTTTAAGTAAATTTGTCTTAATCTAATTAAATTTCAGTTTGATAATTTCGAAGTTTACAAATATTAATCTACAGAAAAAACTAATAAATTATTCTCAAAAGTATTTAAAAATTTTCTATTTCCTATAACAAGTAAATACATCCGAGTAAAACAACGCCCTCTACTTTTTTTCTTTATATTCTTGCCAAGTTGATTAATATTAAATATTTTATAAGGAATCGCTCGTTGTGATTAAGTTTAATTAGTAAATAATTTTAATAATATTAAAAAAAAAAAGCTTTTATTGATCGTTTTTCCAGATTGGCCGAGGAGGACGGTAGAGTGATGATCGCTATAATCGCTATAATGTATTTACACTCGCGCGTGATTAAATTCTATGTTCGGTTATATTTACGTTATCCAGTTACGGAGTGGAAATGATAAGGCGTGAGGACAACCCTTTCTAAAACATCGTTAATTTAAAATACATTGTCTTCAAACGTAGCTATGTCGGTCTTCTATCTTATATGGACGAAATTTCCGAGATTTGAGGACTCGATACAAAACAAATTGAATGAGAGCATTAACTAGTAGAATGGCCAAGCGGTTAAAGTGACAGCTTATCCGGACGAGTCAAAAATCCCCAGAAATTTTTCGGGAGTGGTCCGACTGGTAATGTTGGCTCCTATCCCTCACCATCCGGACGCCCCATTATAGGCATGGCCGAATCCGCGCAATGAACTTGCTAAATGAGGCCCTCTTAATGCCCACAGGGTGGAAAGGGTTAATTAATTAAAAAAAAACTATTGCCGTGAGAATTTCCCATTTCGTTTTCAACTTCTGCAGTAGCAACGACTTCCGTTTTCAAATGTTAAATTCCTTTGTGAACCCGTCCTGGTTTCGCAGTGAAAGTTCCATTTCCTTCGTACCGCAAAATCATTTTCCTAAAATTTCTAATAGTCAGGGGCCCTTGATAAACATTTTAAGCGCCGAAATTCCGTAAGTATAGAGCAGGTATTGCTGTTTCATTAATAGAAGAGTATAACAAGTAACGCGTGATCAGACAGGTTCACTTGTATAATTCTGAAGAACAGTTTCGACTGCTTTTTTATAATCGAAATTCGTTAGAAAATGTACATTAAGGGACAGCAGCGCCAAATTTCGCCTTAGCGACTGAATTTTGATGTAAAATTTTTTCGCGAAACTTGAAATCGTATACTCGGGACATTAGTTTTGATTGAGATTTGCCCGATTCTTTTTTCTACGAAGGGCTTCGAACAATGCTCTTTAATTATAATCATCCTTAGGGCTCTTCCAGCGATGGGAAATACATTTGATTAAATATTGTGTTTCGGACAGGAGACTTGTCGCCGAGAAGACACCGGGAATTCGTTACGAGTCTTTGTCCCTCGCCGTCTCAAAGAGACCGAGAGATGTTAGGAAGACTTTTTTACCACATACCGTTTTATTCGGAGTCTTCGAATGGAGGATAGGTCGCAATGGAGGATACCAACAAGTTTTTCGACACCAAAAAGTTTGTTTAGTTACAGAAATGCTACTTAAGTTCTAGAAACTGCTGAATACAGCAATAAAATTAAGAAAAAAGATGTCTGGACGGAAGAATCCTTTTAAGACGTTTTCACGGAGTATGGATCAACCCATTATTATCCATCGTCTTTTATTTTTATTTTTTTCTTCGAGAAAACAATTGGGGCAACAGCTTCTTCTGCCTCCAGCATGCTGCTACTAGGAAAATTTCAATGACAACAAACAATTGGGAAGAGTAGGAGGCTGTCTGTCCGTCGCAAATCTTTCGACTGTCTACGTGAGTGAATCTCCTAAAGACTAGTCTACCGGCGACCGAGTCTACCGTGTGAAAGTACACTTGGATAAATTTCGTCCAAAAGCACAAACACGCTGCGACTATATTTTCATATCACACTTGTCTCTTTTGTCTATCCGTAGCAACGTCTGAAGCTTATTGGTTTGTGGTGACAGTACGTAACCACGAGCGAAAATATGTGAAAATAAAATTTTATTTAATCACATAAAAGAGTTAGATCTACATATTTCATTTTTGCTACACAGGAACTGACGTCTTTTTTAAATTTCTTATTTTATAAGCTTTAAACATGAGGAATAATACCGGTAATAGAAATAATAATGCAAATAATATATATATATATAAAGATAATGTANTATATATTATTTGCATTATTGCATTAAAGATATATATATATATATATCTTTCCGCCCTGTAGGCTCTAACAGAGTTTCTTTTAAGCAGGTCCATTACGGGTTCGCACCAGACCCATAATGGGGCCCGACGTATCCAAACGGACCACCCTCGGAAAATTCCTGGGGATTTTTCGAACCGTCCGGATTCGATCCCGGGTCTTCCCCAGAGCGACTTGACAGCTCGGCAATCCGGCCATCTATGTTAATGATACTGTACAATAATACAAAAAAAAAACTAAAATTGTGAAGGATCGAAGCTACATCCGAGTGTGCGTATACATTCGGAATCAAGATAACTCACCCAAGATAACTTTGATCGTTCAAATCTTGCATACAAACGAACTATAGCGATCTGATCATCTCTACCAGCGTATACAAACATCATCTAGAATTAACTGGATCGCGAGCAAACTAATACAAATGAAGGGTAGGATCGTTTGGGTCAGATAAAAAACATTACAGATGGCGACCTCCATGGTTAAAGTCAAGCCGATAGTTGACAGCAAAGAAATATGTTTAACTGTCGAAAATGAAAAGTATTTAAAACTTAATAAATGGTAACTAAAGGCATTATTAAAATATCCGACAAACAGATAAAAATAATAATAATAATAAGTACGTATTAAAAGACAGTTTTGTGAGATTGTACGATAAGAATGCATGGCGTGCACTCTCCCATTTTTCCACCAGTTTTATCCACTGAGTAAATACAATTCGATGCTACTTGTATACTTTCTTCTAACTAACACACATGATAGAAGCGATCTGATCAAAAACTGATTCAATCTTACAGATAGATCTATCTGAAACGAAAAATATATACACCTAGAGTAAATGAGGTACCTCTAGTATTTCATCCACTCGGCTATCGCCATACCGAGGAAACGTAAAACTTCCCAAATACATAAGCTATACGCTCAATTTTCAGAGGCCATTTCATGGAAACGCTTGAAAAGTGGGTTTTATTATTTGGACAAGGAGTCGTTTGTGTTTAAGGCTACGCGCTCATCAAGTTTCCTTTTCAGTCTGTGGTTGCCCATCGGTGGATAAAACTACTAAACATTGACAGCCGATCGTAGACAGAGTTTACGTTAAACGACGTTTAACAGTCGAACGGCGTATAGATATTGGCTGGCCGAACCGCGGTTTAAAATGCGTCAAAGACGACGATCGTCTATTTCTGAACGCCGTCTAAACGAACCTTGGCAAAACTTTGATCGCTGTTACTCCCCTCTCTCAGGAGTCGTTTAACCAATCGGGTCATTCGTTTATGATAGAAAAATGGTGACGAACAACGTGTTTAAATCATGCCGGAATTTTTCTGAAGAAGAAAAAAGTGTCCTGGTGGAAATTATAAAAAATTAACCTGCAGTTGAGGAGAAAGGTTACAACAATCGTATTGTAGGGATGGAAAAAAACCCGCATGGGAAATAATACAAAACGAATTTTCTTCCTCGTATCCTTGTCGGTCTGCTCGCAGCAAGACCATATTTTCATTCGTTAAAAAGACCTGATTCTTATTATAAACGTCTCTATTATTATACAAGAAACTTTTAAAATGTATTTAATTTTTAATGGAAGTTTGATAGATACCTGCACACCGTAGAGACGTGAACTCCGATAAGATCGTCAGCTACCCTCTGGAAGCTTCCGGTGGCATAAAATCTCAATGCCGTCAACAACTGTTGTTCGGTAGTTAATAGCAATCCTCTTCCACCTAGATGCTTAATTTCGTCGTCAATACGATTTAAAATACGAACAAATCCAGATTTTAAAAATTTATACCGAATTCTAAACTCCTCTTCGGAATAGATTTTTAAAGGATTATTCCAATCTCCTTATTACCTTCTCTCTCTTCGCAATTGTAGAGATTAATAATTTTCTTGATTCGTCCCATTTAGTTTACAATATTTATTAAATGAACGATACCCATTATAACAAACTTTGCCAGCAACAAATAAATATGGCGACTTCTACTCAAGTAAAATGGTGTCTAAACTTGCTATGGAGGGAGTCTAGAAAGTAGGACAAATAACTTGTTTCTAATCTCTGTCTAAACTGTGGCAAGTCAAAAACGCCGTCTCTACAATGAAATTTTTCAGAACAGCGGTCTACCCGATATCTAAACTGCCGTCGGGGTCTAAACGTTGTTTCTCTAATCGGCCCGGGGGTTAGTCGTGGTTCGCGCTCGATCAATGGGTTGCTCGCGTGGAATTGTTTGGATTTTCTTTACGTGCCAAACACGTAAATGAGAACCAGCTTCTATAGAAAGTTCTAACTTGGGCAGATCGCTCAAGTGCTAGGTTGCCTTACAGATCAATAAAATCAATCTATCTATCACAGTCACGTACTGTACTACTCGCGATAAACTCGCAGGTTCGATGTATTCGAACTCGAATCCTCACAGAAGTAGGTTGAGATCTTATCGCGCAACCGTCCACCAACGCTTCGAATGGAATCGTTTCCGATTTTATCTTCCAATATTACTTCATTTGTCTGCCTAAGTGTTTTCATCTCGGTCAACCCCCTTTCCCCGAATTGTTTTTTTTTTCTCCCAACATTTCTATTCGAATATAGCGGCATATTGTGGCTGTCCTAACTACCACCCTTCCTTTCGATCTAATCGAAATTCTCCTATTGCAAAATACGTCACACCTACTTCTGTTTTTGTCAAGAATCCTGCATACCTTTCAATGGTATTCTTCGTAGGCAGGGGAAGGAAATAAATCGCTTTCTTCGTGTCAGAGAGTTTTCGTAAAGCGGGTGAACCTGTAGCCTATTAAACAAGATTATTCGTTGTTTGTTCTATTTATTACTAATTTACCATTATGAACCCACTTCAGCAGTAGCGTAACCTGGGAGGCCCAGTATGTCCGGGTCCCTTACCTTTGTATATAAATAAATGAAGAAAAAGAATGAAATAAATACGGGAG